AACTCTTGTCAGGAAGTCGTTCCAAAAATTCTGTTGCACAGTTCTGACCCCAAATGCTTTCACTCACTGAACCATCTTCACTGTCGTAACATATGTTAAAAGCTTTATGAAAGCCATCGGTACTGCACTCAAAGTCAGCAAAGAAAACGTGCTCAGGAATGAACTTGCACTTATTTTTATTTACTTCTTTTGACTCTGCTTTCTTCTTCAGTTGTACACAATACTTTGGAGCATATGTCAAATCTTTAAATGGTGCAAGGTTCTGTTTATATAAGTCAGTCGTATATGTGAAAAGTTCTCCATAAGAAATAGGTTCGAAATATTTGCACTCCCACAATGTTTTCATAACATCCCATAACGGTGTTGTTCTATCATAACGAACTACATATTTATCTTCTCTCTTTGTATAAATCTTCATTTGTTTCTCAATGTTCATTCCACCACAAGCTTTGAGAATTTCTATATAGTTGCGAATGAAATATGTTGTCATTGGTAATCTTTCGTTTAGCATGTAGTGGTCTTCAACAAGAAGTAAGTCAATAGTTCTAACAGTTTCACATTCTTTTGGTATGTATCTCTTTATTTCATTATGTCTTGAGTCATTGAAATAACCAATGGTAACATTAAATGCTATACCTGTTGCGTCAGAAATTTCTTGTACTTTACTTTGAGGAAAGTCTCTAACACGAATGACTTCTCTCATGTGGTCAATAGTTTCTTCATCTACTCCAGCCTGAATGCAAGCATAAACGAAACAATTGTCTTCTGTCATAAGTGCTGCAGTTCTTTTGTTCAATTCATTGAAAATTTGGTAGCGCTCAAGATTTATAGGTAATGTGCAAAGATACTTCCAGAACTGACCGCTTCTCTTCTTATAAAACTTCTTTTCACCAAGGATTTCATTCCAGAAGTCATCTATATCTTGTTTATCTCCTGTTTGTTTAAGTCTGTTCAATAATCTTTTCTGTCTTTCTGTCAGTGTGCTTTCATCTCTATATGGTCTCTTTTTTGGTTTGCCTTTCTTTACATCTGACATCGTTAAGCCTTCATATTCTGTTAAATCATACATCTTTATTTCGGTAAGATTCTTTATGTTTGTCAAGAAGAAGTCATAGTGCATTTCAACAATACCTGCAGCATTTGCTTCTATCTCTGATATAAAGTTCTCCTTCAAGAGCTGATGTAGTAATGTTCCAATATTATTGAGGTTTAACGTAGAACATTCATACTTTCCACCAAGTTTATAACATACCATCCATCTCTGTTGTGAGTTTATTTTAATTTTCTCTAAGAGTCTCATGAAAACCTTACCGAAATGTTTGTGTAAGTAGTCTCTGTTTGGTTCATCTAAAGCTTCGATGTTAAAGTCAATGAGTCTATTGCCTGACTTCACATTTCTCTTCCTATTCTCTTCATCTTTCTTTAACCATCTCTCACCTTCTTTTGGTTTGTCGTCAATGGAACGAATGACATCGTTAGCTTTGCGAACTTGTTCTATAGCGCTCTTAAACATCTCTCTTCTCTGTTGTTTCAGTGTGTCGTCTCTTCTTCTTGTTTCACCAACGTTTGCATTTGTTATGTCAAACATCTCTTGACGAACATCATGCGAAAGAGCTTTACGAGTATGACCAACGTTTGCATTTGTTATGTCAAACATTTCTCTTCTTACTTCATGAGGTACTGAACGTCTATGATATAAGTCAATAGCAATGTCATTTAAAGGAAATGCTATTGCATGGACTTCGTCCTCGCCGCGTTGCGGCTTTATGAACTCATGAATTCTATCATAACTTATTGCACCATTATAGTCATTGAGGATGTCAGCGAGTGCTTTTTTGTTTGTTGCGTAATGTTTTGCTACTTCTATGTTAGCTTCTGTAAGAAGTTGTTTTATTTCCGAGTGTTCTAACTTAGACAACTTCCGATACATCTTTAGTAGGAAATAAAAAAATATTTTTTGAAAAAATTAGATTAGATTTTTTTAAGTTATTTTTCAAAATAATTTAATATTTTTATTTTAATGAAACACATGCAAGATTGCAAGTTCTTTTCATACAATGCTCTCGCTACTGCCATCAAGAATGAGTTCAATAATGCTTCAAATGTTAATGTTATCTTTAACAAGAAGTTTGTGAAAGAATCTAAGTTTGGTCAGTATGTCAGACCATTAGCTATCGTCATTGACCGCAAACGTTATACTTCACAAGAGTTAGCAGTAGTTTTGAAACAAAAGAGTTTCTTCGTGAATGTCAAAGATACTCATTATACTGTCATAAAGAACTCTAACATTGACTTCTTCAGTATTGCTTTAAATCTTTCCGAACAGAAAGAATATAAGAAGGGTGAAACAAATGTGAAATATTATCCTTCATCTCTGAAGACAATAACGAACAAAGATGTTATACAGAAATTCTTACCAAAGGTTGAAGAAGCTTCTATTGACATTGACGAAGGAAGTGAAATGGTTGAAGAAATTGACCCTGACGTCATTTAAGCAAAAATATATTTTTGTTTATTCTTCATATCGATATTTTACAACAATTCCCCAATGTATAAACTTTTCATACGCTTTTTCATAAGCTTTATATACCTTCAGAAATTTTGCATAATCTTTAGAAGCATTTAGATATTGTTTAAATGCTTTGTATGTCTTCAAAAATTTTGCATAATCTTTTACATGTTGTTCGTTCTCTTCTTCTGTCATGAGTTCCGAATATTCTAAATTCATGTTCTTTCATATGAGATAAAATTTTATAAAAAAATAAAATTAGCTTAGATTTTTTTATTCTTCCTCTTTGAAGTTGTCGAAATATTCTGTTATCTTTTCCTTCAGTAGCGGTAAGTCTTCTTTGAAGGTAAGTATTGTACAACCTTTCATATCATAGTGTGTTTGAGGAAGAGTATTTTTGACAATTTCCTTTATTTGCTCATTCGGTGTCATTGAAATCGGTAAGTTTTCACGATAGAACCAGTTTCTGTCAGATTTGTAAATCTTAGCAAGGTCGTAAAAGCTTTTGTTGTTTCTTCTGACTAAATGCAACATAACCATATCTCTATCTTCTTCTTTCTCCAACTCTTCAGCGTAAATCATATACTTATAACTCTTTTCCTTTCCTTTTGGTACCGAACGTGGTATTCTTTTCTGAATGCTTTTGTCTTTGGATTCAATGACTTCATCTTTTGCTTGAAGTTTCTTTTCCAGCTCTTCACGTTCTTGTCTGTGAATTTCGTCAAGAAGTTTACAAACATACCAAGCATAACGAGCTGAAGCCCATTGTGCCACATTATTTACAAGAAGTCTATGTACATAATATCCTCTCAAACCGTTTGGCAATTTTTCACGATTTTCATAGAGTTTTGGCGACTGGGGTTTTTTACCTACTCGCTGTTCTTCACTGTTTTCAGAAAAAAGTATGTCTCGCTGTGCTTCATTTAATAGTTCAATAGTGCTTTGGTTCCTAAACCAGTCTTTAGGAAGCTTAGTATCTGGAGCATAACATGCTGTCAAAATTCTTTGCATTTGGTACATGTCATCTTTGACTGAACGAATGAGGCGAAGCTGTTTGTTATACTGTATGTATTCGTATTCTTCATTTATGGCTTCATGAACGATAGCAGTTGTTGTGTTCTCTGATGTTGACATTACTGTCTTTACATACAAAATAAAAAAATAAATAAAAATAAAACTAACTTTATTTTTTCTATCTTAAGGAAATTCATGAAAATTCAAGAGGGTAGAAATGAGGTTAGATCTAACCATCTACCCGACATTCTCGTCAAATACAAAAAAATGACACTTTTTCATTAGATAACTGTTATTTTTTGACGAAGTGAACATTAACACTTCGTCAAAAAAATCCCTGAAATCATATCTTACATACAAAAAAATGAAGAATAACTTTCACTTTTTCATTATATAACTGTTATTTTTTGACGAAGTGAACATTAACACTTCGTCAAAAAAATCCCTGAAATCATATCTTACATACAAAAAATGACACTTTTTCATTATATAACTGTTATTTTTTGACGAAGTGAACATTAACACTTCGTCAAAAAAATCCCTGAAATCATATCTTACATACAAAAAAATGAAGAATAAATAAAATAAAACTAACTTTATTTTCTGACTTTCACAAAAGACCAAAAATAAACGCTTTACATGTATTTTTCAGCAACTTCATCAAATAATTTTATAGCTTTATCTATCTCATCTACTTCAAACGTTTCTTTACCTTTTATGGGAGCACCATACATTTTCTCAAACTTTTCGAGTAGTTCTGTTTCTGCGGCTCTCATATCATTAACGAACACAACCTTGACTCTATTGACTGTAGAGTCATATCTTTGAGTTATATTATATGTCCTTCCTATCTTATATCTTTTTGTGTTGAAGTCCTTCGGTTTCTGAACGATGTAAAGTAAGCCTTCACTGCAACGTTCGTATCGAATGAACCATATGTTATGAAGTTATATCCAACAACTGGGTCTAACCATAACAAAACTATTGGTATAAGACTTTTGTCTATAAGATATGCTCTTGTTCCATGAAATGCTACTGATATCATAAGCTCAGGATTTCTTGTCAAAATTTTCTGAGTTGAAGCATTTCTAACCCAGTCGTTTGGTTTCTTTCCAAATGGAGATATAATGTCTGACAAAGAATATTTGTTGTATTTCTTTGAGTATCTTACGTTTAAATCACCGATTCTAACCACTTTGGTGTCATTGTCAATCTTTCTAACTGTTTCAAACTCAATGTTTGACATTACTGTCTTTACATACAAAATAAAAAAATAAATAAAAATAAAATTAGCGTTATTTTTTCTATCTTAAGGAAATTCATGAATTTCATACGGAATCTCTTCTCTCGGTTTTCCGAGGGAAGCAAGCATATGCCATTTTACTCAGAATTTTGTTGCTGAATTCAGCAAAAATAATGTTTAGGGTAGAAGGTTAGATCTAACCTGTTTTCTACCCTCTTTTCTACCCCAGTTATTTTATAAGCGTTTCACATGGTAAACGTTATGAATTCGTGAGACTCTAAACAATTTCGTAGCTTCTATTTCTTCTTTTAGTACATCGAATGTTTTAACGATACCGAAAGTTTCTTTATACTTCTTCTTGACGTCAGAAATAGAAGGAAATCTTGCTGTTGGATAGTTTTTGTTCAGAAATTCTAACATGTCCATTTTATTTTCTACCGGCATCTCTGCTTCTTTCTTTAAGTCTGCATAGTCGTTTCTCATTCTTTCTATCTCTTTGACGGAGTAGTTATATTTCCTAATTGCTGCTTTACATTTAGAACATTGCGGGTTCATTTTTGCGTTATACATTGAAATAAAACCAGCTAAAACAATTAAGCGTCAATTGCTCTCTTCATCTCAAACATAGCGGGTCTTATCTGTTTATTCCATACTTTACCTCTTCTATCTTCATCTCTTATCTGCCATACACATTCTGCAACTAATGAAACAAAGTTGTCGTATGTCTTAAACTCCCCGGATTTATATATGTCAGAAACATTCTTATATACCATATCGCAATCTTTGTCCATAACCTTATGGTTGCAATGAAAACCAAGGAATTCATAATTTACCTTTCGTATGAACTTCTTTATTTCTACCGAGTCAGTTGCTTTGACTTCAATTTCGTCAAATTCGGGAATGGTTAGTTTTTGTTGCTGAATTTCAGGTAGTTTAGGTAAATGGTCAATAATGTCCTGCATTTCATAAAGATACTGTTCATTTTCTTCATCTTTCGCACTACAGTCTAAATTACTTGTTAACAGTTCTTGCTTTATCTTCTGGATTTTTGTTTCGAAAGTATATGAAGAAGGAATGAAGTTTTTCATCTCTACCAACATTGACGTAGGATTCATAACTAACGAGTTTGGTGCTGTAGTTGTTTGTATTGCTGTTGTGCCGATTGTTGAAATCAGACCTTTTATACAAAATAAAAAAAATAAATAAAAATAAAACTAACTTTATTTTTTATTTCGGGAAAATTCATGAAAATTCAAGAGGGTAGAAAAGAGTTAGAAAACAGGTAGATCTAACCTTCTACCCTAAACATTATTTTTTGGTGTAAATTTCCTAAACTGACTGACTGACGGCACAAAGTGGCATAACGAAAACATTAATATATAAAATTCATGAAAATTCAAGAGGGTAGAAAAGAGGTTAGAAAACAGGTTAGATCTAACCTTCTACCCTAAACATTATTTTTTGGTGTAAATTTCCTAAACTGACTGACTGACGGCACAAAGTGGCATAACGAAAACATTAATATATAAAATTCATGAAAATTCAAGAGGGTAGAAAAGAGGTTAGAAAACAGGTTAGATCTAACCTTCTACCCTAAACATTATTTTTTGGTCCGGGAACAAAATGAACGAGGTCAGGATGTATGTAAATACCTTTGAATTCATTCATAACACCCTTTGTAAGCTCATAAAATGCTTGTTTTGAGGTCGAGCCACTTTTGGCTCCACCGTATTCTTTCAACCAAAACTCAAGAATTTCCCGCATGAATTTTGTATAAAACTAACTTTATTTTTTCTATCTTAAGGAAATTCATGAAAATTCACGAGGGTGAAAAAACATGTGAAAAAAGAGGTGAGATCTCACCTCTTCACCTAAAATATATTTTTGGTGTAAATTTATGACAAAAATAAATGGTACCATTAATGATATCATGACTGTTCTCATTCATGTCTGATTTACATCTAATGAAAAAGTTTAGAAGAATTTTCTTATTCTTTCTGGCATGTTTTTGTCTTTCCAATACTCCCGCTCTAATGGTCCCAGATGTGTTGGCTTTGACTCTCTCAAGTTCTTAGATGGTATAACATCTTCAACGCCTCCTTCATATCTTACTTTATAAGTGTCATCGTTTATGTTATAGCCAAGTATTTCAATAACCACTCCTCGCTTTGCTTCGTCAATGGTTTCAGCAAGTTTGCCATTACTACTTTCGACTAATTTGTGACAAGGGTAAAACGCAATAGAGTCGTCAGCAGCTTTTATAAGATATCCATTACCTTGCGTAGAGTCTACGATATAATAGTTTCTACTTAACCTTAAACGTTTCTTTGTCAACGGTTTGTCGTCAAGAACTACACGAACTTTTGTACCAGGAATGAGGGTAAATTGTGTTGAATTTCTGATATTTTGTGTTTGACTTCGTTTCTTTTGTATATACTTTTCTTCTTGTTGTTGTGTCATTGAATTTGGTGTATGTCCTGTTGTATAGGGTGTCCAAAGGTGCGTTTAGCACAGCGCTCTATATGAGACTATTAAAGGAGATATATGCTGATTATAAATATATAATAAAAAATATGAATATATGTATATGATGAGTATGTTGTATTTTGGCGCCATGCCGGGATATATAAATGAATTTTGAGACAAGAGGCGGTTTCGCGGGAAATTTTGGCGGGATTTTTTCATTTTTTTAATGAATCATAAAGAAAACATCTCGCTCTTGCAAAAAAATGCAAAGACTTAAAAAATCTACGAGACATTGGTAAAATGCTTCGGTATGGATGCTCCTAGCTATTCCACTGTAACGTATTATGTTAGGATGTATCACTTCATGAACAAAAAGGCGCCCATCATAAAAATTGACAAAAAATCGCCGGATCAAAGAAAAATCAAAGCAATTCTTCAAGTGCTAGATGAAGACCCAAGAGCATCACTCAGAAGGATAGAGGAGATGACAAAGATACCACGTACAACAGTCAGTTATTATCTGCACAATTATTTGAACTACAAACTAGCGTATACACGTTGGTTCCGCACAACCTTAATTCAGTTCAAAAAAAATCTAGAGTCCAATCTTCGAAAGAGCTCCTCTCTATATTGGGTGCGTATCAATCCAAGAAGTTTCGCTTTTTAGTAACAGGGGACGAGTCTTGGTTTCAATATGCAACAGAAGCCAAAATCATGTGGATCCCGAAGGATGAAAATCCGCAAACATTCCCGAAGAAAAAATTGACACACCAATGATTATGTTGTCGGTTTTTTGGGGCGTGAATGACATCATCGCAATTGAGATTCTTCAAAAACCTAATACGATGAATGCTCAGTATCTAATTGACAATGTTCTTACTCAAATTATCAATTCTGATGAGTTTGAGAAATCCAAACAACAAAAACAAAAGTTTGCAATTCATTTTGATAATTCAAGAGTTCACAAAAGTCATAAGGTAATGAATTACTTGGTGGAAAACAATGTCAAAGTTGTTCCAAACCCAATTTATTCACCTGATATTGCACCCTCTGACTTTTATTTATTCGGCACGCTAAAAAAGAGAGCTGAAGGACGCGAATTCGCGAGTCCAGATGATCTTGAAAATTTTGTAGAGAGTAATTTGAGCAATTTTCTTATGATGATTTAAAGCGTGTTTTGAAGCCTGGATCGATCGCTGCGAACGCGTGATTGAATCCAATGGTGATTATATTTAAATAAACTTTATATATATGTAACTTGTTTATTTCTATTCGCAGTATTCAGGTTTGTGCTAAACACACCTTTGGACACCCTATAGAATGTGTTGAGGAATTATATACTTCGAGAAAGTGTTTCATTGTTTCTTCGGTAAAGTCTCGCTCTTGGTTTAAATCTCTGAGCGTTCTTATGAAGCGGTTTATGATGCCGAGTATGTTATGGTTATGGTCTTCAGTAGTGTAGTGAGTTATGTTATGCTTAATGAGAAAATCTGTGATTTCATTACTGAGGTATGCACTGTCTTGGTCTGATGTTAAAGTACTTGGGTTATGTTCTGCTACAAACTTTTGTAAAACTCTTAACACTTCACGAGTTCCTTTATTTTCATTGGATATGCATATGCTTTACGAGTGTTAACATTAATGAAGATGAGGAATGGTTTATGTCCTCCTTTTCTGCTTTGAATGAGAGTGTCAAATTGGTATGCGTCGGGAGTGTTGGAGTAAATTGGTAAAAAGTAGTCGTAAGGGTTTATTTTTGTTTGATGTACAACATTTTTGTCAAAGAACCTTTTAACTTCAGCTCTGTTAGTAAATCCCCAACTCTTTGCAGCTTCATTGAACTTCTTAAATGACCTCCATGGATGTTGTTCGAATACTTCTTTCAAGCTCATTTATGTAAAGTTAAAGATTTTATTCTAGGCTCAAGCGCGTTCATTGAACGCGGTACCATGCGAATACAGTCACAAATGGTGGCATATAATCTGCACCCGAGCCTGTTGGATTTGTTGTGAAAGTGTGGGCATGATTTCCTGCGGTTCCACAGAAAATACCTGCGCTTGAATCTACTGGGTCACTTGAAATATCATATCTATGCATTCCCTGTCTATCCGAACCTGCTGCAAGATTTGTATAACCTCTTTTTGTTATTGAATGTGAATGACTACCTGTTGTGTTTGTAGTTCCTGTATGAGTGTGCGCAGGTAAGTTTGCTTCTTTAATTTTCTTCGAACCACCTGTTTGCTTTGAAGAGTTAGCACAGTATAAGAATTTATCTACAATCTGTTCCCACGTACCAAAGCCTAAAACTGTTTCTGGATTTGTTGAGTTCATTGACGTATAAATAGAGCCTATAGGATATAATGTTTGAAGTATTTCAGTCTTTAATGTTTGAAGCTCTGTTTTGTCAGCTTTCTTATCTAACATTGTTGGTAGTTCATATGCTTCAAAGTTTCTGGCATGATCTTCGATATTCATACATTTACCATTTAAGGAGTTTAGTGTATCTTTTACACTTGTACTCGGATTCTCTAAAGGTGCACTTGAACCAAGGTCAAAGTTCAATATTATGTCGTCTGCTCTAACAGTAGTGAAGGATTTATGTGTATGGTTCTTGTCAGCTTTCTTATCTAACATTGCTGGTAGTTCATATGCTTCAAAGTTTCTGGCATGATCTTCGATATTCCTGCAACTTTATCTAAATTGTTAAGAGTATCTTTTACGCTTGTACTTGGATTTTCTAATGGTGCACTTGAACCAAGGTCAAGTTCAATATTATGTCGTCTGCTCTAACAGTAGTGAAGGATTTATGTGTATGGTTCTTGGTCGGCTTTACTGTCTAATGTAGCTTGAAGTTCATTTATATCGGAGATGTTGTGTTTATGAGATTTCAAAACTTTGTTCGTTGCTTCAAGTTCAACTTTGTCAGCTTTACTTTTAATAGCATCTTCAAACGTTATTTTTGACTTAACTCTCAAAGTAAATCTTGGTTCAACTAGTACACCGTTAACATTGAAAGTAGAGGCATAAATTTCACCGGTATAACAAATGCTTCTGGTGCTTTAGCTACATCATACTGTACAGTACAGCTTATGTCATAACCTTTAGCACGAATGTATTTATATCTTCTTTCATTAACATTTTTTGTCTTCGCTTCATCACTTCGTGTTAAATATCCATGGTAGTCCGTTATAATCTGTTCGTCTGAACTTATATAATGAACGTGGTTCTTGTCCGCTTTACTATTTAATGTAGCTTGAAGTTCATTTATATCGGAGATATTGTGTTTATGTTCTTTATCTGCTTTTTCGGCTAATTTCTCTTCTATCTCATTTATTTCAAGTTCATGCCTACCACCACCTCCCGAAGAAGTATTTTTCTTCAGCTCTTGAAGAACGTCCACTTCGCCATCTTTGGTGTCAATAATGAGACTTTGTGTTAAAACCTTTCCTGTCTTAATGGATGTTTGTAAAACTTCTTCTTCACAGTGTTCGGGGTCATGGTCGTCATCATATCTTGTGAAATCAGAGATGTTGTCATACATTAAGCATATCTGTCTCAAAAGTTCTGCTATTTGAAACTGGAACGAAAGATATACAGAACTTTCATCATCTCCTAAAGTCAAGTCTGCTTTCTTAAGTATTTCTTGAATGTATGCAATGAGAACAGAGTACCTTGGAAAATATTCGAACAATATTTCATTAGCTGTTGGTTTTGGTGGTTCTTCTGGAGTTTCTGTTGTTTCAGTTCCTTCTGTAGGTTCTGTTGGAGTTTCTGCATCTCTTGACTTCAATGCTCTTGCTCTCAAAGACCTAAATGTTAGAGCACCGGGTTTTACAAAGGACTTTATAAATGCTTTAATAGTTCCTGGTAAGTTATTGTTAGCATTAAGTAAGTTCCTTATGCTTCCATCATGTACGTCCATAGCACTATGTAAAAAATCTATACTTTTCTTGTAGTCAGCAATAGACTGACTGTGATTTTTTAAAGATTTGTCAATACCTTTAAGCCAATCTTCATGCATGTCTGATACTGAGCCAAGAATATCATTTGCTTCCTTTAGTGTATTTTGTGCTTCTCGTAAAGTATCCAATCCCGTACGTGCATTGTTTGCTATACGTCTTACAGTATCTATTTGACTCCTTGTTTCTTGCATCCAACCAGATAAAGTTTTAATAGTATCCGAACCATTTGAAATGAAGTTCAAAGCATTTTTAACGTCATCTAAAGCTTCTTCACCAAGTACTGCCCATATCTTTCCGATTTGGTATTGAAGAACTCCATATGAAGCAGCTGTTAAACCAGTATTTATAAGGTCCCATATCCATGATTTAGCAGTTTTTCCATCCTTTCCATCCTTTCCATCCAAACCGTTCTCGCCTTGAGGTCCTTGTATTCCTTGTATTCCTTGTATTCCTTGTGGTCCTTGAGGTCCTTGAGGTCCGGTGTCACCCTTCTCTCCTTTCAGTTCATCTTTATGTTCGTTATAATATTCTAATGTCATAAGGTGTACATCATTACTGCTACCAGCAACGCCAAGAATTTGCTTCTCATTCATGACTAAATTCTTTAGGCATTTAATGTTGTCGTCAAATCGAAAGCTCTTTAACAATTCAATGAGAACATTTAATACTTTCACTAATGAGGCATCTACTGTAGAATTTATATATTGCACCGTTCCATCATTTATGATAGGAACTTTACTTATTGTAATGAATGGGTCATAAGTGTTAAAAGTATCGAAATCAATGACTTTTTTAGTTTTTCCATCGTCAATGACTAAATCATTGCCTTCAATGGTTAAAGTTGAGTTTTCGTTTACTAGTTCATGTGCTCTTCTTGCTTCATTTGTTTCATACGCATATGCAGCAATAGTCATATTTTAATGAGAATAAAATGTTGTTCTATTTGCAAAGTACAGACCCAAACGAATACGGGACAGTAAAGCTACAAACAAACTTAGGTCTTCAGAATGAAGCGCTTGCTTTCAGAGTTGTTGACTTCAATACTATCGCAACTTTTGTCATAACAGATGAAACAGATTTCATAGAGATTGAAATAGATGACAAAAGAAGTTTTATAACATTTCCTAACAGAGCAGAGTATAGAATAGATAAAATTGCTGGAGTCATAGATACTCTCATAAATGAAGAAACTATTGACAACATAGATGTCGAACTCTCTTCTGAGGGAACATTGAAGTTCAGTAGCAAGAAAGAGTTCAAGATAACACGAATGAGTCATAGAGTTCAACTTCTTTTAGGAGCATACCATATGACATTTCCTTTGAAAAGTGTTGACAAAACGATTGAGATGAAATCTGTTCCATACGTATGTTATGGCAATTGTTTATACATTGAGTCTAAAATAGCTAATGTCACAGGCATTTCAGGAGTTAATAGTAAAGGTTCAGTAGAGTATAAATCTTTCTGTTATGAAGTAAATTCAATGTTCATTCCAAACGTTCCTGTCATAGCAACTCATTTAGGTAAATGGGTTCGCATTAGTCCTCATAATTTGAAAGACATGCAATTCAGACTTGTTGACTTTCAAGGCGAGCCTGTAGAACTGAAGGCACCAGTGCGAATGACTGTTGAAGTTGACTTTTTAGAAAATATTAAATGCAACAGCTTACAAGAGAACTCAGAGCTAAAAATATAAAGTATGAATGTTATGTATTAGGTCATGAACTTTGGTTGTTGCTGTTTGATGAAACAAATGAGTTAGTTATGTCAGTCAAGAGAACAGAAAAATATTGTGTTAGTGAAAACTGCACCAAGTCAATAAGATTAGGTTTGCATTATGAAGATGAGTTCGATACTGTTGAAGAAGTTTTGGATAGATATTACAAATTGCTTTAATTTACTAAAACATATTTCAAGCAAAGTTTATATTCTGTTGAAAGTTTTGTATACTCGTTCGAATATTTATACTTAAACTCAACTCCTGTAGTTCCTGGTGTTTCAATGATGCGGATGTTACCTATTTTCATGAATGGTGGCGTTTGACCACAGCATTCGATTTCAGGGTCGAGATAGTCAATGACACATTGTTTCCCTGTTATTCGTGAGATAACATTTTCAAGGTCCTCCTTTGTTAGAATTATTTGGTTCTTGCTTATAAGATTTACCAAAAGCTTCTTATCGTCTTTGAGTAAAATTGTTTGGTATAACTGAAGAAGGTAATGGTCTACGTTATCTGAAGGATTTGTTTGAACATTTGTGTAAGGATTGTCGTTGGCTTCTCTTGAAAGAATTTGGTCTAATGGTGGATACTCTAACTTAACATCTGATGTAGCGTTTGCACTTGAAGCTGTGTTTAAATTCACGGATTTCAGCTCTGGTTCTTTTTCTTTCAAACACTCCGAACTATAGTTCTTTATGACAATATTGTTTGTCGTTCGTGAGTCAACATTTGATGTTGGTTCAATTGGAACATTAACGGCACCAGCTAAGATGGATTTGCTTCTCATTTCATATAGAATAAAAACCTTTTATATGTATGAAATGAACAATATACTCGACAAGGGTTTGAATGTAAAGCTAACGAATGAAAATATTGTTGAATTCACTGAGACAGGAGCTGTGTATAAAGATGTAGAACTACTGAACAAAAGAGCTAAGGGAAGAAGCAGGAACATGAACAAAGGGTGGAAGCCTATAAAAATTTATGTCAATGATGGCTCAGGAGGTTCAAACATAAAGTATGCAGAAAGTTATAGAGTTTATGCTCTCAAAGGTGAAAAGCCTTCATTTAAGAACAGCTATTCTAACGCATATCCTCAAAAGCTAACGGATGGGGAAGTGGATGATATGAATGACAGCAAAAATATTAACAGAAATGGCGACAGAGATGCATGGAATTTGTTTACCATCAGTCAATTGAAGGTTAAACTTTAAAACAATGTTGGTCGTTCCCATGGAATATTTTTGACTTTAATGGTATTAGTCATGATATGAATCTCAAGGTATGAACGAGGAGAGATGAGAGACTTATATGCTTCCCAAATTTCTTCAAAAGGTAATGTTATACCTGACTGTTTCCAAATGAGTTCAATATCATAACGTGAGAAACCTTGAAAGATAACGAAGTCAGTTATGAGACGTTTTATGTTTAAAGCTAAAAACCTCCATGTTTGCATAAGTATTGCTACAGTTAAGTGGTAATGTCTGACTTTAGTTATGATGTTAGCTAATGGTGAGTCAGGCTTTGAAACTAAACCTTTTCCGGCGAAGTCGTCGCAAACTAACAAAGTATTTGAAGGATATTTTTTGAAGGGGTATTTTGAAAGTTTTGACAGAATGTAGTTTGTAAGTCGTTTCATATCGTAAACTCCTGAGTATTGACGTAAGTGGTGTTTGTCAATAATTCTTTCCATCTCCTCAGAAGTCTTTTGCATTCCTGACTGTATAAATTCAACGATGGCATAATATTTCCTCTTACGTCGAATGTAACGTTGAAGAAATTCAATGAGTTCACTGTCTGGAACTTTAACGACAGAGGCTTGAACTTTTGACATAAATGTTTTCGCTGTTGAATCCATAGAGTCTGAAGTTGCTGATATAATGATTTGGTCATAGTAAGAGTCGTTTCCTAAACGCTCTGTTATAAGAATATGACGAATGAGGTTAAATGTCTTTCCTGACCCCATCTTTCCACAATAGAAATAAACGCCATTTGAACAGAACTCATAATCTTTGCTGAAAGGAAGAATGAGAGAATTGTTGAGCTTTTCACTGCTTTCATTCATGTCTTCATCTACGTCATGTATTAAATGCTTCATTTTATCTCCATTAAAAATGCAAGTCAGAAATATTCAGAACATAGCACCGAGTCTAACTGACAAGAGTATAAAGATATATTATGAACACGTTATGATGAAACCAACCAAAATTCAAGAAAGTCAGTATACTTATGAATATCCAAGGCACTGGGTAGAGTATGTAGGAGGTGAGAAAGCTATTGAAATCAGACAGGTTCGAAGTATTCCAGCAGGAAGAACAATATTATTGAAGAACTTTAATGTTTTGAGGTATAATGATGAAACAAAGAAGCAAGATAGTTTTCCTGTTGCTGTGTATGTGAACTTAGATACAGGAGATGACATGAAAGTTTTTAATACAAAGCTTCAAACGGTAGTGAGAGAACAACTGACTGCGGAAGGACATCCATTACCTTCAGAAGTTACCATAGCATATAATTTTGAAACAAACTCAATAGATTTTAAAGTCATCTCTGCAAAGAAGTCAGGCTTTACATTTAATGAAGCAGATGTATATTCGAATGAAAACTTCAAAGCTATTGCATGGTTAGATAATGACGATTGCTTTAAGAAAATATTTAAATTCAGTGACTCAAAGATGTCAATAGATGACCTTCGTGGAATGTTACCATCGACGTTTACAGTTGAAGGCTCAGCAGGATTGCTTACAAGATTGTCAATTGGTGGTATTTGGTCTCGTGAGAACATTGTTATAAAATCCAGTATAAGTGAATTTGCTGAAGAATCTATATTATGTCTTTCAAACTATATGTATTCGCCGCCAAAGCATTATAGTATAACAAACTTTGTCAGTAAGTTTAATATAAGACTTGTCGAACCTTCTTCAATGAAAGATGTTGTGCTACCCAAAGATGGAAAGGATGGACTCATTATTGAAATGATTTTAATAGCATATTAAATGAGCTTGTTCTTGAAGGTCATTCATGATGAAATAACTGTTGTAGAAGATGTTAGCAATTGTTCAGACATTTTGAAGCGTATAGATGATATAAGAAAGAAGTTAGATAGACCGCAAAGCGGTGAGGGCGAAGCCTGTGAGAACGCTTATGTTTCATTGACTTTCTCCAGTAACGAGAACTTTTATGAGATAATATTGAAGAGAGATGATTTTAATATGGTGTAAATGGTAGCTTGGGCAGCTTTAGGCGCAATGGGAACAAAAGCATTAGCATTTGGAGCAAAAGCACTTGGAGCTTATGACGCAGTAAATAAAATGAGTGGAGGAAGGGTTTCGAAGACATTAGATGCAATAAAGGGAAGATTGGAGGTTGGGTTGCAAAAAGTTAAGATTAAATAAAATAGGGCTCATAAATAAAGCATCTAATTTGGTTGCGACTGAGTCAGAAAATGCTTTAGGAAAGGACGATGAGTTTGCAAAACACGCAAAAGACTTTAATGACCAGATGAAAGGTGAAACAATGCATTTAAATAGAGTCGATGGAACTCTTCCTCCATCAGTAGTTCTTCCGTATGGTCCCTATGGAATGTATGGAAACCCTTACGAAAGACCATTTGACCCATTGACTGGTGGAAGTAACTGGTATCATTACGGCCGAAGAAGAAAGACAGTCAAGTTGGAGACAGACGTAAAGAAAGCAACTAAAAAGAAACCAAGGAAGAGAGTTATAAAGCAATGAATTCAACAGGGTGAAAAACAGGTGAAAAAAGAGGTGAGATCTCACCACTTCACCTAAATTTAAATGGATGTTTTCATACGTGTGGGAGTGGTGATATCATTAATTTTTAAGTTTATTTTTTATTTTACTGAAAATTTT